CTTCATTATGAGTATATATTTGTGATATTACCTAGGCAATAGGATGGGTGTATTTCCTGTCTTGAGAGTAATTAGAGGCTCTCCACCTCTCACTCCACCTCCCAAGGAAATTATTTCTTATAGTTCAACTATTCTGTTTACTTGAATTTATTTTCTCTCTTTTTGTGCTGTGACAGCCCTGAATTCCACCTTAACAGATGTGAGAGTGAGTTCCTTGTCTGCAGACTCATTCTCACTGTGGATGGTGGTTTGTGTCTTGCAGAAATGTTTGTGCTTTCCTGACCTGTTCCATTTTAGGGCTTGTTGATGTTTGGAGCTGTTGTGGGTTAAATCCATGGGTGGACACCTGGTTCTGGAACAAGGAACTTCCTTCCCACAAACCTAATCCCTTGTTGGTGTGGAACCCAATGCTTTTATTCTGGAATGAGAGTGTCAGCATGTGGGATTCGTCAGGAATGGATCCATGGATGGAGGAGGTTTATATGGGATATTGGGAAGAAATCCTTCCCTGTGAGGGTGGGCAGGCCCTGGCAGAGTGTGCCCAGAGAAGCTGTGGCTGCCCCTGGATCCCTGGAAGTGTCCAAGGCCAGGTTGGGTGAGGCTTGGAGCACCGTGGGACAGTGGAAGGTGTCCCTGCTCATGGAGGGGGTGCAATGACATCACCTTAAAGGTCCCTTCCCACCCAAGCCATTCCATGGTTCTATGGATTAGCCCACACCTTCCACCTGATGCCCCCAAATCCCTTGGGAAGGAAGGGCTGTGGAGGCTGTTTGGTTCTGTGGGTGATGATCTCAGTGGTCACTTGGTGATAAGTAATTAATTCCTTTGGATTCTCTGCCCTTGGTGGTCGTAGCTTCTGTCATCTCATGTTCTCAGCCCTTTGCACTAATTAATCCTTAACATTTTTAAAAATAAGAGTGATGTAGAAGCCCCACTTCAGACCACACTTCCCTTACCAGTGTGCATTGTCACCCAGCCTGAAGCTGAAAGCAGTTACAGCTTTGCCTCCTCATCTCGTGACCAAAAAAAACCCCAAACAGGCGGGAGGATCAGACTTTCACACACCCTGAGCCCGACACTTCCGTGGTGAGCGGGGCTGCTGCTGCTCCCCTCCCGTGAGCAGCCGGGGGCACAGGAAGGGCTCTGTGCTTATCAGATCCATCTGTGCCTCAGCTGTCTTCCCTCCTGCTCCCCTCACTGCTCCGTGCTGCTCAGGAGTCACAGGGCACTGCTGCATCCCTGGAGGATGCTCCAAAGCCACGGATCCTCCTCTTCCCCCCGTCTCCAAGGGTTTGCCGTGGTGAGGATGTGCTGCTGGAGGTGGCTGAGCACAGCTTGCCCAGGATTGCTGCCTGCTGGGGCATTTCTCAGGCCCTGTTTTCCCCCTTGATTGAGGGAAAACCAAATTTGTGTCTGTCTGAGGAAAAAGTGAGCTGCAGATATTCACAGCCGTTAGAATCCCAGAATGGTTTGGCTTGGAAGGAACCATAAAGCCCATTGAGTTCCAACCCCCTGCCAGTTCACTTCCCCTAGACCAGAAACACTTTGTGCTTCTCCAATAAAAATCCCATTTGCAGATATATTGGATAACACGTGCATTTATCCTTTTGCAGACCCATATATCCCAATATTTGTTGTTTCTCAGTGGAGTTGATATTTTCCTTCTACAAAATCCTTCACTGTGCTTTCTCCATAAAATTTGATTTTGTGTTTTCATTTATATTTTCTTTGAAAAAACCAACGAGAACCCTCTTTTGAAAACAAGATGTGTCCTCCCTGCAGAGCTGAGATCTACAGCAGAGCACGGTGATGATCTGAACCAGATCTCACCAGGGATTTGAAGTCCCATTAGAGACTCTGGGCTGGGGCAGATGAGCCAGGAGGGAGAAATTTTGGGTGAAGGAACTCAAAGAGCAGCATGACACCGAAGTGGGCAGTGCTGCTGTTCTTTTTGGGTTTGGGATGGTGCTGCTTTAGGACTTTTAGGCTGTTAAGCAGCAGGAACAGGCTGGGCTGTGGGCTTTGATGGTTTGTGTTGATTCACTTAATTAAGAAACTTCTCATCCAAACAGAACCTCACAGCTCTCTGAGTTTCAGACCTGTTTCACTCAGGTCTCTTGAGAACTTTCTCTGGAGCTGTGCAGAGGTTTGTGTGACCACAGGGAGTTACTCTGCCCTGGAATATCCAGTGTCCTGTGGCTGTGGATTTGTCCCAGATGATGGCACTGGTCACAGGACTGGTGATCTGGTGGCACATGAGGGAAAGGAGTCAGCCAAAACAAGAGCTTGGGTGGGTTAAAGCCTTTAAAATAAGTTTTTTCCCCTGGGACTTGTGGGAGTGCAAGTGGGGAGGCAAAGATGGACATGGTTGGTGGTAAAAGCCACGACCTTCCATGAGCTGCAGCCTCACCAAGATATTCCCTTTTCACAGCTCTGTTGGGCCCCTGGGAAAATGGGAGATAAGTTGAGTGGTTCACTGTCACAATTCCTTATGGCACCCAGTCACATCGTTGTGTTCATCCTGCCTTTGCTGGCTGCTTGGACTTTTCATTTTCTTCCCTGAATTCAGGGGAAAAAATGGGAGTAGAAGGAAATTTTAGCACAATGGTGTAGAGAATTATTATCTTGATGATTGGAGCTCAGCCTCGTGGTGACCATGGAGGTACCTGACCTTCAAGGAGCTTCATTCTCCCCGTCCTTGTAACCTCATGGTGGCACCTCTGGGCAGCCCAGAATGAACTCTGGCCCTGACAGGGTTGGTGTGACCTAAAGGACAGGAACAGAGCTGGAAGCAGGAACCAGAACCATGTCTTCCCCTCTGAGGCAATGACATTACTGCATTTTTTTCTCTATTATTTTATTCTTATGGTATTACATAACCAAATCTTTTTTTCTAAATCAGATATTTGGCCACAGCTGTAGATGGTGCAGATCAAATTCTCAGAGTTTATCACCCCAAAGGCTGCAGCTCCTTTGCCCTGACTTAACTGGCAGCATGAACCAGGCACTGCCCTGAGGGACCCAGCTTATTTTTGGTCATGATATTTATCAAAACATCTGTGACAAGATTTTAGCTTTTTATTTTTCTGTTGGATGGGGTGGGCTCATATTTGGGTCACTCTCTGAAGGTTGTTTTTAGCTATTGAGGTCTGAGGAACAGAGTCCAGCAGTGCCAGGGGTGCTCTGTGTGTGCATTTACACCCCGTGAGCTGGGGCTGAGGCTCATTTTTAACAGCAAAGTGAAAAAGGAAGTAAAAAATGCAGTAAAATGTGTCAAAGCTGCCTTAACCCCAGCAGGAAAATCTAACGAGTTATAGAGAAACGGGGACTCTGCTCAGGATGTTGAGCAACCATGTGACAAAACAGCAAATAAAACAGCGCTGGTGAAAGAAAATATGTGTGAGAGGACAAAAATTCTGCTTTGGTAGGAGAAGCTGTAAATCAGCCCTTTTCATGGCAAAAGGAGATCTCTGGGATTCCATGGGTGGCTCGTGGTGGTGGCCGAGGATGAGGAGGGCGCTGGGAATGTTGGAGGACCCGCGGCCCTGCTCTCAGCTCGGGGGCAGGAGGTGCCTGGGGAGATGAGCTCTGGGAGATGTCACCTGCCCCGAGGCTGGGCCACAAATCCTGCAGAGGAGGAGGAGGAGGAGAGGGCAGGAGGGAGGGACACCCCGAGGGGCCACCCCGGCATGGCTCACAGCAGCAATGACATGGAGCTAAACCAGGGAATTCATCTGCCCCAGACCTCAGGGGATGTTGGGGGCTCAGGCTGGTGGGCAGGCAGGGGAGAGGGCTCTGATCCCATGGGAAGGGAAGGGAAGGGAAGGGAAGGGAAGGGAAGGGAAGGGAAGGGAAGGGGGGCTGTGCCAGCTGTCACATGCGAGGGCAGCTCTGGGTCCCAGCAGGCACAGACGAAGCCCCGAGGCAGCCGCTGGCTCTCTCTCTCTCTCGGTGCCCGTGGCGGGGGAGAGGCGGTGCCATGAAAAAGCTTCTGAAAAGAAAACAAACTTCTTGTGTTCTGACACTCTCTGGGCTTCACATCATTTTCCTACAATGTGTATTTCCCTTATATAAATTATAAAACAACATTTGCATAAATAGAAAAATGATACTGTCACAGTATTTTGCACTTCAAAATGTAACATTTGCAATGTTCACAGAAAAATAACATTTTACAAGAAGGTGCAAATGAAATACCAAAGTCAAGCCTGAAGTCTCTGTGCTTTGAATTTAAAGCAAATATTAATAAAACAACATCCACCTTTGAGCCTTTCTTAAAAAAATCTCTCGTGGCACCTTTGACTTTGCTTCCAGGGAGTTCCCATTACAGCAAACTTTGGAAAGGTTTGGATTCTCTGAATCCTGCTGCTGCTAATGGGGAGTGGATGTGATGGCTGTGGGTCAGTTATCAGTGAAAGGGAAATAATTTGCCCCATTTTTGGTGAAAAGAGGACCTGAAAGGCTTGATGGAATAAATACCCTCCAAGCACATGGTTGCACATGGTTCAAAAGGCAAGGCATGGCTCTAACCCGGGTCTTTGCAGCAGAAAGTGGGAACTGATGGCAAAAAATAGTGTGTGGAAGCTTCCCTGGCTGTGTGATTTGGGGTGATGGCATTTGCTACACCCCCAAATGAGGCTTCATTAGTTATTCAAATAGGAAGTCCTTTGGGGCCACCTTCTGCTCCTCACTCCATGCTCAGCATGGCTGGAGCAGGCTCTGGGCACTCTCTGGAGAATCAGTCTCTGCTGAATTGTCTTGTGCTTCAGAAACAGAGAATATTGTGGCATCCAGTGATTTTTAGGATCAAATTCTTTCTGCACAGCAAGACCCCAGACTCTCTGCTGTCTCTTGCTGGCCAGGATGTGGCTGGGTGATGCCATGGGTGACAGAGGAGCATGGTGTCACCTCTCCCATGGGTCCATGACCTCCTGCTGCCCAGCTGAGGAATGGAAATGCTCCTATTTCTCTTCAGTGAAAATGTGCACCTGAAGTATTAAACCAACACATTTTTGGTCAGGTTTGGGTATTTTTGAGGGGGAGGTTGTTTGTTTATTCCAACCCTCACCAAAAGCAGGAGTTTCAGTTGTTGTTCTCAGTGTCCTGAGGGAAAAAACTGTGGCAAAGGCCAAAATGTAATGAACATTGGAAGTGCTGGCAGCTGTTTGGGGATCAGCATTCCGTGGTGTCCTCCCCAAGCACATCCCTGGAGTGCTTCCTGCCGTAGCTGAGGTGCTGGAGCTGGATGCTGTCCTGCAGATCCTGCCTGGAGAGGCGTCTCCTGAACTCGTCCGTGGTGAAGTAGTAGATGATGGGGTCCACGCAGGAGTTGAGGCTGGCGAGGCACAAAGCCACGGCGTGGAACACCGAGATCTGCACGCAGCCCTCCCAGATCTGCCCGGTTTTCACAAAGAAATCCAGCGGGAAGCTGATGTGGTAAGGTGCAAAGCAAATCAGGAACACCAGGGCACAGGTGAGGATCATCTTTAAAGCCTTTTTCTTCTCGCCCAGGTCCCGGGAAGCAGAGTGCCTCTCCTTTAGTGATAAGATTGTCTTCCAGGAGCAGTACAGGATGATGAGCAGGGGGGTCACGAACCCCACCAACTCCCCTATGGTCATCAGCGTGATGGAGGTGGGGAGGTCCAGTTTCTTGATGGGAAGATCCACAAAACAGGCGTTTTTATCCTCCTGGTGCTGCATCCTGAGGAGTGGGAAAGGCAGGCAGCCCACACAGACCACGACCCAGCCCACGATGCTGATGTAGACATCACAGACACGCCTGCAGTCACTGAATTTGAAGGGGTGCATGAGGAACAGGTACCTCCTCACACTGATGCACACCAAGAAGTAGATGCTGGCATACATATTGACGTACTTCAGGTAGAAGCAGAGCATGCAGAGACCTCCTCCGAACTCCCACGTGCCTGTCAGGTAGTAAAAAATCCTCAGGGGCAAGGACAGCACCTGTGATAAGTCAGCAATGGCTAAATTGATCATAAATATCACGGCCCTTTTAGTCTCTCTCATGTAGCCATAGAAGACCCACAAGGCCAGGGTGTTCCCGATGAGCCCGGGGATCAGGATCACCGTGTAGGTGACGGCGTAGTAGGGCTTGAGGTCTGTCTCACTGCAGTTGGAGCTGCTGTTCATGGTTGTGCTCCGGCTCCGTGCTCAGCCCCGGCATCATAACACGTCCATCCCGCCTGTCCTGCGGCCAGGGGCATCCAGAGGGAACAGCCCAGCCCTGGAATCCGTGCGGAAGGCTCCGGTCACCGGCTCATCACGGGGAGTTCTGGCACGGGAGGAGTTAATTCCAGTCCTGCCCTCGTGTCCTGCCCGTGGGTCAGAGCTCGCTGGGCTCACCTGCAGGAGGGGTGGGCAGGAGCGATCCGCACCGGGAAAAGCATCGCTGTGTGCCCAGCGGACAATTCCTCACCCGAGCTGTGTGTCTGTCACCTTTTGGGTGGCATTTCAGCCTCTTCTCTCAGCTCAGGGCTCAACAGCTGAAGAAGTGGCCCCGCAGCTGGAAGACAGAAAGGTTCAGTTGGAGCATTGTTGGGAGACAGGGAGTAACAGAGCAACAGTTATGGGAAAAGCTGGAGCATCTCTCCAGCAGAAACCCGTGTGGCTTTGGTGCTGGTCAGCTCTTGTGCTGCCCAGCAAGCACCGTGCCCTGTCCAGTGGAGGTGCAGAACCACCAAGGAATAAATAGAAATTGTGTTCATTTTCTGCTACAAACCTGGGGGTGTTGCTCTTCCTGTGTCCCAGCACGTGGTCAGTGCCAGACCTGCCTCCCTCCCTGGAGATATTCTCACCTGCCAAAAACTCCTGAGAAGAACACTCCCCTGGCTTCCCAGGAAAGCCCTCAGAACATTCCCACCCTCCCCAGCTGCAGGTGCAGAAGGAAATCTGCTCCTGGTGTAACCCATGTGCACACAAACCTTTCCCCCAGTGCAGCCACCGCTGCTGTGTCACGGGGTGTCAGTCCCAGGTCAGTGGCTTTCACCAACCCAGGGCCAACTTTTAAAAACAGGGTCAAAACCAGGTTCATCCTTTAAAAATAGGACACAAACCATCCTTTGCAGAACTACCTGCATTTGATCCAATCTGACTTCCTCACAGCTGCTTCTTCTAAGCCTGTCCTTACCCGTCGTGCACATCTGGGGCTGTTGGTAATACCAGAGCTGGTACTAAGGAGACTGGAGGTGGATTTTATTTAAAACTGCAGGCCAAACACATGATGCTATCTGAATGTGTCAGACACAAAAAACCTCAGCCAGATCTGATAAATCTAGAGGAAAATCATATCTCTGCCCAAACTGTCTCAGGTTTGCCTGCCTTTCCACATGAAGAACTATCCTGCAGGTCTAAGTGGGAGAAGTTTGTAGGTGCCAACCCAGACACCAAAGGCACGTTTACTTAATTTAAAATGTTTTAATGTTTTTAATTTAATTTTTAAAAATTTTAATGTTAAAGGTAAAATGACACCTGCTGCAGTCCCTGCTGGTTTTTTTCCAGTGCTTAGGTAAAAAATGTGAACACTTGTTTAATAATGGTCAACACTTGCTGGTGTGATGGTACTGAAACTTTGAAGTAGTTTTGGGTGGAAGCAGAAAATCTGCCATAAAAGGAAACGTCTATTTTTGTATTTTCCCTCACCAAGGAGACTGAGATATCTTCCTTCCTTCCTTTTAAAGAGGGAGCATCTAACTCAAGCAGTGGGGTAAAATGGCTTGTGAAATGATCTTGTTATGCTCCAGAAGTGACAATTAATAATATTTGTATTTTAACAATTTTTCTTATCAGTTTAAACTAGCTTGTTTCTCCTCTCCTCTTGGTAGAGGCTCTTGTCACCCACTGAGGAAGACTCAATCCAACTCCTTTTCCCCTGGCTGCATTCCCAGGTGGGAAAATCCACCTTAACTCCATCTCTGGGCCTTGGGACACACAGAGGGAAGGACGAAGTGCACCCCCAGCCCTTCCACACCTGCACATCTTATTTTTCCTGCTGCCCCTCAGCTCCTGCCCTTCCCCATCCCCATCACACAGCAACTTTCCTGGAACTCCATTCCCTGCCCCTCCAGCCTGGCCCTGGGGCAGGGAGGCACTTGCAGGACTTTCTGCCTCTCTCTGTGACACGAGGGGTCCCCAGGGCTGAGCTGAAGGTGGGGAGCAGCGAGGGGGCTCAGCCAGGGCACCCAGAGGCACCCTCAGGGCTGGGGAGGGGGTGTGAAAACTCAGCAATGTGAGACACGGCGCTTTGGAAATCCCAAGCAGCAACATCACAGAGTTCAGCCCTATGTGCTGTGTAAAAAACCAGCAGGATGCTAAAAAAATCTCCAGAAAGAGGAAATTTGGGTTTGCATGCTCTGTGCTTGCTTCCCCCTCACTGTGAGGGGGTGGGTGAGAGACTCTCCACAGACTCAGCCTCCTTCTCCCCCTGAACAGCTTTTCCCCTGATTTTTCCATGGGTACCCCCAAATCAGCCACATTGGGGCACTGGATGAAGATTTGTGCCTAATGAGTCAGAGTAGCGGGTAAGAGTTGTAGCCAGCCTAAAATCAGCTTGTTAGAGCTGGGTCCACCCTGGGTAAAGCATTTTCCATGTGGTATCCATCTGCTCCATGAGAACCCCTGCAGGGCTGGGGCTGTGGGAGCAGACCCTTACCCTGCTCACAGCTGGGCTCTGCCCCACAGCTGAGCCTCAGCAGAACTCATCACCCTCAGCAGTGCTCAGGCTCCTCACCTGAGGCTGCTTAGAGGTGTCCAGTCCTCCTTAGGAAATCCTGGGGGTTTAACCCACAGCAGCTCCTAAACCCAGCTGGGTGGGAAGAGGCTTTGGGAGCAGCTCCTGGCTGGGCTGGGTCTGTGGGTGCTCTCCCTGCTGCTGCCTCGTGCCTGGAGCCCTCTCAGAGCTGGGATCTGCCAACACCTCCTGCTCCTGCCCAGAGCCAGGTGATGGATCAGCCTGCATGGATTCTCCACCTCCTGCTCCTGCCCAGAGCCAGGTGATGGATCAGCCTGCATGGATTCTCCTGCTCCTGCCCAGAGCCAGGTGATGGATCAGCCTGCATGGATTCTCCACCTCCTGCTCCTGCCCAGAGCCAGGTGATGGATCAGCCTGGATGGATCCTCCACCTCCTGCTCCTGCCCAGAGCCAGGTGATGGATCAGCCTGCATGGATTCTCCCCCTCCTGCTCCTGCCCAGAGCCAGGTGATGGATCAGCCTGGATGGATTCTCCTGCTCCTGCCCAGAGCCAGGTGATGGATCAGCCTGGATGGATCCTCCACCTCCTGCTCCTGCCCAGAGCCAGGTGATGGATCAGCCTGGATGGATCCTCCTGCTCCTGCTCCTGTCCAGAGCCAGGGGATGGATCAGCCTGGATGGATTCTCCACCAAGCCCTGCCCTTGCTGCTGGCCCAGGTGAGCTGGGGGTGCTCAGTCCCCTCGTGTTCTGTGTGAGGAGGTGTTTCAAGAACACATAAAACCTGTGATGGGGGTGGCAGGGGCACAGCAGCAGCACCCTGGTGTCCCCTGCTCACTTACCCTCCTGGGGGAGCTGGGCTAGGCTCTGCCTGGCACCTCTCTTGTGTTTTTCCTTCTTCTCCTCCACAACCTAAAATAAAAGCAGAACATGCACAGGGGAAACATCAAATGGAAATTCAGTTTCCTGTGAGAGTGAAGGCAGGGTGAGCGTGGCTCTGTCCCTCCAAAGGGGCCCTGTGGGGAGGGGAGAGCTGGCCCAGGGGTGGCCTGGGCTTCTCCCAGTGCCCGCTTTGTTCTCTAGCTCACCTGAAATGCTGCTGGCCTGCCTTGGCAGGAAACAGAATTTACAAGGTATGAACTGAAAATAGAAATGCTAAAACCAGAAACTGAATGTTGTATGGGGTTGGTTTTTTTTTTTTTTTTTTTTTTTTTTTTTTAAAAAAAAAACAAATGACAGAAGATGAGCCTTCTCTGCCTTGAAGTAGTTTCCAGGTGGATATTTGGGATTTATCTCTTTCTCCATCAGAGCAATGTTCCCCCTTGCTGTGCTAACTAAATTCCAAGAATATGAAGGGAAAAAAATAAATGCTCTGTTTTAATGCCATGTGAAATACTCTGCTTTTGCCTTTTAATCCTTTGCAAAAGCTCTTGTCCTCCTTTGTTAATATTTATCCTGGTTAAGAAGGGAAAATAACCGGGAGCAGCAGTGCTGTGTGTCAGCCTAATCCCCCACCCTCCTTCTCCCTTCCTGGCACGCTCTGATATCCCTAAGAGGTGTTTCTGGCACCAAAGCTGTGAATTATCCCCCCAGACCATCAGCACATGGCCCCCAGGGATGCACAGCCGTGTTCCTGTGCTGTGATAACCCCGTCCTCTTCCTCCCTGGTTCTTGCAGTAAATGGAAATTGGCCATGGAAAATCAGTGTGGTACCACTTGTGAGGAGCAGACCACTTGGGACAAACAGAGAGAGACAAACCCAAGGAAAGTGCGGAGCAGTGGGAACTGGGTCAGTGATCCCTCTGTGGGGGGATGGGGCTGCGTGGCCTCAAGGGCCCCTTTCAGACCAATCCCTTCCCAGGTGCTGCTGGGTTTGCAGAGGCTGAGAATCGCTGGAGCTGGGGTTAATCCTTAAATTCAGCTGCTCACTCAATGATAGCAGAAAACACAGCTTGAAACTTCTGAAAAGGCTGGGTGTTTTCGCTTCAGCCATCCCCCTGCTCTCCACTCAGATGCTCAGAGCATCCCATGGGCACACATAGGACCTCCTCAATAAATGCGGTATTTTCTCTTCAATAAAAGAATATAGCTGGGCTTTGCATCTCCTCCCTTCTACCTATTCACTCTGGGAGTCACACCAGGTCTGTGGTGAAGCCAGGACCCCCCTGGCTGTCCCTGAGCTGTCCCATCCCCTCTCATCCCTCCCGGCGCAGCCTCACCACATCTACGGCACAACGACCAAAAAAAGCCCGACTGAGCCCCCCCAGCGTGCCCCGACGGTGACGGGGACAGAGGACTCCCGGCCCTACCTTGGCTGTGGCGGAGGCTGTCCCGCTGTGTCCCCGCGGGGCTGCAGCGGTGCCCACGGCCGGTCCCTCCCTCGCCGCGCAAAGCAAAAGCGCAACTGGCGGGGAGCGGCACGGGCACGGCGACACCGCTTTGGGGTGTCCCTGCCCCGGCTCCTGCCTGGGGTCACCCCCTTTCCTCTCCTTCCGTGGTTCTCACGGGTGTTTGTCAGGGTGCTGGTGCTCTCGGGGTGTTCTGGGAGCCGTCGGTGTCACCCCGGGAGCTGTTCGTGCTGCCGGGGTGCGGTCAGGAGCCCCAGCTCAGCTCCCGGGGACACGGAGCCGCTGGCAGAGCCCCTCCGGGACAGGCGCGGGGCGGAGGGAATGCCAGGATTCAGCCATTCTCTTCCTTCCCCAGCTTTCTGGGAAAGGCTCCTTCCCTCTCACCTGGGTGTTTGCACCTGCAGTCCCCGCTCCCAGGGATTTTGGGGGGATTTAGGGTCCCCCCGAAGCTGATCGTGGGCACACTTGGGCTCCCCAAAAGCAGCGAGTTCTCCGCGGTTATTATCATCTCGTTCAGGGGATTCCCACAGCTCTCACGGAGCAAACAGGGTGAGAGCCAAGGGCTCTTCTTTTCCAAACGTGCCACGAAGTGGTGTCACCTACGGCCACGTCCCCGGGCCACCGCGGTCCCCGGCCATCGGCAGAGGGCAGAGCTGGCTGCGCTTTGAGCTTGAGAAGCAGCACTTCCCTGCGCATCCAGCGGAGGACTCCAGCTGAAGGAACATCAACAAGAATTCTTGTTAAGGGAGTAATGATTCAGTTGGTTAATTTGAAAAAGTGACTTTGCTAACCATTTCCAGAGAAGTTCTGCAGAGATTTCGGACTTTTTAATCTGCATTTATTAATTTTTCTTGTGCATCTTCCCAGGAGAACCGCACACACACACACACATATATATATATATATATATATATATATATATAATTACACCTGCTCCTTTAAAGCATTGTTGATTTATCACAATTCCAACTTAGGGTTTGTAGCTCTCTACACTCCTTTTTATGGTGGTTTACAGGACATTAATGGCTCTTACAGCCTCGTAGGGCACAGGGTTTGTCACTCTGTGGTGACCCAGCCCCTCTCCAAGGCTCTGGCAGCAAAGTTGTGAATTATGGGAGATGTGGACCACATCTCCCAAAAATGCAGCTGTGTGCCTGTTCCAGCAGCTGATGCTCCTGCTGGTTAGAGTTTCCAGCTCTATTCTGAAGCTGCTGGTGACTTGATGGGCTTTAATTAACGTGGGAGCCAGAGCTTTCAGCACTGTGGGATCTCCTCTGCAGAGTTGTGCCTGCGGCGCAGGGCTGGGTTTTGGACTTTGGATGTTTTTGGGCTGGCAGCAGTGGGGTTGGGGTTTAGTGCTGAAGGGGGTTCTGTGGTGCTGGGGTCTCACTGAGCCCTCAGAGGAGGATGCTGCCTCAGCTCATGTCAGTCCTGGGGTGTTTCCCTAATTCCAGCAGGATCTGGGATGTGAAACCTTCCCAGCACCTCCCACCAGCTACCTCTGCCATGCTCTCATTCATTTCCTCTCCCTCTCCCCAAAACTGTGTGATGTGACACCCAGGGATCCCCAGGCTCTCCACCAGCATTTCCCTGTGTGACCCTGGCACTCCTGCCTCCCCCGAGGGCTGAGGGGGATGGTTTGGAGGTGACTTTAATAGACAACAAAATTGAGGCCAGTCCCAGGAATCATCAATCCCTTGTGGCTGAGCAGCACCTCAGGGGATGGGCTCCTTTGCTTTTCCCACTGCAGCAGGTGATGGATTCTCTGCTTCACTGCCATTTCCACAGCAGTCAGCCTGCTTAGAGGAAGGCAGAGCCTGAGCTCGGGGCAGGCAGTGGATGTAGGGTACTGAGGGAGGTTTTGTTTCAAAACCACCTTGCAGGGCACCCCCAAATCCTTTTTTGCTGGTGCTATGTTCTGTGTGCTTTGCCACTGGCATCCATCCCATTTCCCATCACTCCAGGAGTGTTCCTGGGCTGTGGGGTGGGAATTGAGGGTGCCTTTACCAGCAGGCAAGTTCCAGTCTCTGAGTTCTGCTGTCCCAGGGAAAACCCTGGCTGGACCTTCCAATCCTGCTGCAGTGAGGCCAACAAAAATCAGGAGGTCTTGGAGCTGGGCATCAAATCACAAAGCAATTATTTTACAGCATAAAGTAAAATTTTAAAATTGTATTTTTCTCTTGTATTGATAATATATTTTTTTCTTTACTTGCGTTTGTATCTTACAAGAATTGGAAGTTCTCAATTTATCTAAGCTTGTGCTTCACGACCCTGGAGGAGCTCCTCAGAGAGAACCAGCTGAGGTCTTTCTGATGTGCACTGCCCATCTTTAATAGAAATAATTCCTGGGAAGGGGTTGCCTGTCTGCTCTCCACACCGCTGGGGCTGTCCCAGGGGAAAGGAGTGTGTCTGGAAAAGGGGAGCAGGCACAGCTCCACGGATGCATCTCCCGGCATCAGCAGGGCTCACATGGAGCCAGGGATGCAGCCGTGCTGAGAGTTAAAGATGCAACCAGGCTGAGAGTAAAAACTGCTGGTTTTCCCTGTCCTGTGTGCCTGCAGCAGGGAATTCTCTTTAAAAACCAAAAAATCCCTGCAAAAGGAGCAGGGCCGGGCGGTGGCGTGGCAGCGTCTGCCGGGAACGATGTGCTGGCTGTGCCGGGATGAGGCTTTGGCTGCTCCTTGGAATGCTGAGCGCCCTCCCAGTGCTGAACGCTGCCACGGCATCCACGCAGAATTCCCAAATCCTCTCCCCCGTGCCCTGAACAGGACCCCAGAGCATGGGAGGGGTGATGGACACACCTGGGGCTGTCACACGGTGCTGTCCCACCACACCCCAAACTTGGGCTTTGCGGGGTGTTGCTGGCTGAGCGCACGAACCAGAAAATTGGACTGGGGTCTGATGAAATCATGGCTGTCTGTAACACAGCTCCCTGGCTTGGAGAACCACTCCCTGGCCCGCCTGGGCTTGAAGCAGCAAAATTCTCTTGGAGTGTGTGGGAGCTGTGCTCAGGGTTGGAGCTGTTGGTGTTTGTTCCCTTGCCAGGGACAGCACTTCCCATCTCCAGCACGAGGTGGGTGGGTGGAGAAGCTGCCCTTTGCCAGCAGTGGTGCCAAAAGTCAGGAGAGGCTCGACTGTGAGGGCTCCACAGAGGCTGAGTGGTTTTCCAGAGGCAAAGTCGCTTTGGGGCTGGACTGGGAGCATGTGGTCATGGAGGGAGGATAAAGGTATTTTTAGCAAGGAGAAAAGCAGCTCCCCTCCCTCCCTTTGGGGCCCTAAAAAGTGCTGTGCAAGGGACAGCTTGGATACTCCCAAGTACTGCATAATTTTAGGGATATGTAAGTGTAGGTTTTGATGGGATTTTGGGAAAAAATTCTTCCCTGTGAGGGTGGGGAGCCCCTGGCACAGGTTGCTCAGAGCAGCTGTGACTGCCCCTGGATCCCTGCAAGTGTCCAAGCCCACGCTGGACCAGGCTTGGAACAACCTGGGCTAGTGGGAGGTGTCCCTGCCCATGGCACAGGTGGGATGAGCTTTAAGGTCCCTCC